ACCATCAATTCCACATTAATATTCTTCAGATTCCAGGGTGCGAAATTAACGCGAGTCCGGAGTCAAATACTCCCTGATTTGACATATGCAGGAGTCCGTGTGACTCCCTGAAAATTCTGCTATATTTTAACTAGTTCGTTCCAGAGCACGGCTTCGCAGAATTACCGAATTTTTTTAGCAAATGTCCACAGAAAATTTGGCTGATGTGCAACCGCACAAATCCTCAAAATAAGCACTTGTATGCGTTATTGTTAATATCTTTAGTTTTGAACTTCAGACTACGGACTCCCTCATTTTGCTGCAGACTCCATCTTGAGGGCAGGAAGTCCGTTGGACTCCCTTGTTCAAAATTTAATTTCTACCGCTGAGATTTAGTCAAAAATTCTTCAAAAATTAGTGCGTACGATTCCGTAGCAGTGCAAAAGCCAATGCGGCATTCGATTTACATCCAAGAATTGTTTGCGAATTGCAATGCCATATAAATGTTTCAGATCTCCTTTTTTCCATCACCACCATTATCAAGCTCGTGCATAATGATCAAAGAAAAATATGCTATTGATGTTGTTTTAATAACACTTATAAATGATCACAAATTACTACTTTTCTGAAGACCGATCAGAAACTATGTCCTTTTTTGGCTTTATTCACCTGTGTCTCTGGCACAGAATAGAGAGATTTCGAATTCCCTGCCAGTTAGGTTAGGGTTAGGGTTAGGGTTAGGGTTGGGGTTAGGGTTGGGTTGGGGTTGGGGTTATGTTAGGGTCAAGGACAGGGTCAGGGATAGGGTCAAGGTCAGGGTCAAGGTCACTCACCTGCGGGAAGGAGGTTCGTCAGGAACCCGCCAGACTTCTCCCCCTTCTTTGCCGCATTGTCCCCGCCGCCTCCCCCGCCGCCAGCCTTGCACTGCGACGTGTTGCAGTCGGCAAAGTACATGATGAGGACGACGTCGACGAGGAACCAGACTAGCGACGTCGCGATGATCACCTTACAGTGCTGCCGGCGGATGCGGCCGAACATCGTGCAGGAACGACGTCAACGATCTGAAAGTGCGGAACGACGTCAACGATCTGAAAGCGCGGAACGACGCCAACGATCTGATAGCGGGGGTGCGGAACAATGAAACGCAGGGTGTGAAATTAACGGGAGTCCGGAATCAAATACTCCCCGATTTACTGTCGGACTCTCTGATTTGACATATGCAGAAGTCCGTGTGACTCCCTGAAAATTCTGCTATACTAACTAGTTCGTTCCAGAGCACGGCCTCACGGAAATACCGTATTTTTTCAGGTAATATCCAAAGAAAATTTGACAGACGTGCAACTGCATGAATCTTAAAAATAAGCACATGCGTTATTGTTAATATCTTTAATTTTGAACCTCAGACTGCGGACTCCCTCATTTTGCTGCGGACTCCCTCTTTTTGAGGGTAGGACTCTAGTGTTCAAAAGTTAATTTCTACCCCTGGGAACGTAATGACGGAAAGTAACGATAGAACATAACGACAATGGTCAAACGTGACCGCAGGTGACTGAACGTCATATGGGCCGAATGTAACTGAACGTAACGACGGAACAAAACGCCGACGGTCGAACATGGCCGCAAGCGACCGAACGACGGAACGTAACACAAAGTCTAACTTCATGAGAACAATCGAACGTCATGCGAACGGTCTAACTAAACACAGACGACTCAACGCAATAGTTTGACCATGGTAACAAATGGTTTCTATTGACCCAATCAATACCCTAAACAGGTACAATGTTAAAACTTAAACACGAGATTTACCTGCTGATGTACTGTAAGCAAGGACCATCTAGCTAATCCGAGTTATCTCAGCAATGTGGAATCGCTTGCTATCCATGAGTCACCAGTGGAATAGACTATGATAGCTGGAAACAACAATAAAACAGAATATGAGGCCTAACATACGTAGTTGCATAACCTCGTAAATATTAGCCTTCATAGTCCAAGGCAATATATCGAAGGCAGAAGGAGACAAAACTAACCAAATAGACAGATCAACTTTACCTTACTATACCTTGTCTATACAAGAACATAGTGCATGGTGGCAATACAGCTCCTACCCCACCTCCCTGCCATAGCTTTCACTGCATTTCACTAACATTTGAGACTGTGGATGTCATTGTAATTCCTACGTAAATTGGTAAGGCCAATTTCGGCCGGTTAAACAACCGATCCTAGAACCTCCTGCAATTCTACTTTTGGATCCCGGTATATATAATTCGCATATATGTGCTAAACTAATCCGGGGTGCTAAACAGTAAACTAGGATTGCACTGAAACTCCCATTGATTTTTGTCATTTTTAAATCAAATGGCTTGATTTTCATATTGCCATTCACTTGTTCAGTGTGCTGTTTCTGTATAACCTTTCCCATTACAGAATAATAGGTTTCATTCAGTCACTGGCTTGTTTTCAATTTAATCTAGAAATTAAAACCATATTTCTGGATCTGGATAGTTTACTGCGTAGCCCACGTTTACCCAGCCCAGCAAGGCACGCAGCTGCACGCACTGTGTTACCGCACCGCCACGGACCGCTGCGTCACACACGGGGTTTGTCGCGGGCTGCCTTTTTTTTCTCGTTGTTCTTTTTTGCCGCGGTGAATGCGTGATACATGCGTCGCATGCGGCGAGCCCGCGACACTGAATAGCGGTTCCCAGATGCGCTCGACGCATGCTCCCGATCGCGAAATGCGCAGTAGGTCAGTAGTCGCTCACACAGACCCGTACACACTTTCACCAACTCCGAAACGGCGCTCGCCAAACCTTGTTTCCTTTCGGGTGCACTCAAATGCAGTTCACGGATCATTCAAGATGTCTTTTAAATTTTGCTGGGATGACCGCCAAGATACCGCTCTCTATCTCTCCTCGCTCCGCATATCTGGCCCTGCAAGAGTCCAGCATTCGTGCCTACTGCACGGTCCTTGTGAATCGATCATGGAGGTGCGTTTTTCCCCAAACGATTGGCATTACCTCACCCGTTGTCTAATTTTTCCCTCAGAAGTAAACCCTGGTGTTTTAAAAAAGATCTGTCGTCGCACACATGGCAACGCCGCACCGGCACATGACGCTGGCAAAAAGTCAAAATGAATTTTACTACGCGCTGTGCGTCACTGTGTGTGCGCGGTGCGGTGCGTGGCGTGCGTGTTGTCGTGCGTGTAGGTGTGTGTGTGTGTGTGCGTCGAGCCGTGCGGTGTGCGTGCTGTGCTGCGTGGCGTCGTGCGTGCGGTGCGCGGCTGCCGTGACCGCTACGCGCAGTTTTTTGTTTTTGTGTGTGGGTAGCTGTGTATTGTGAGGTACTGAAAAAAGTCACGTAAAGAACTGAATAAGTACTGCAACTGGGAATATAGATCAGCTTTTATGAGTAGCTAAACTTTTCTGGTTAGCGTAGCATCCCCGAAGGTTACAAAAGTAGTAAGTAATATGCATATCTAACTGAAAACTCTGTCTGTAAGTTATGTTAGTATTGACTGTAAATAGCTAAGTGTGTGTATAGTACTGTCCTATACTGTACCGCCGCGGCGTAGTTGCGTGCGTACGTGCGTGCGCGTGGCCGATGCGCGTATTGTGTGTCAGGATACTGTAAAAAGGTAGTTGCACCTACCGATCTACAAACAGTGAAGTGGAGAGGGGTTTAGCAGACATAGATGTTGGTTAAAACAGCTCTGAGTAAATATACCTAAAAACAGCAAGTGTTTGTGACATTCTAACCAGTCAAAATTGAAGGCCCAGAAGAAGAGATGTTTGACTTTGAAAAGTGCTACGTCTAGTGGATGCTGTCCAAAGAAAGATTTTTCTGCTGCAGTGAAGAAAAAAATTGCAGACAATTTGAATGTCTCTGTCAAGTGCAGGTTCAGAGTCATGTGGTAGAATCATGAGTGTTGTGTCTCAGTCAATGAGAGCAGGTGGTGAATTAATAGTTTGTTTGTGCATTATATGACGTGTAGTTTGCACTCATGCATATAAGAGTTTTGTGAACAAAATAACAGAAAGAAAAGAATATTTATTCGGCCTTTTTGTGTTAAAAATGTTAGCTACATATGGTGGCTAACAGGAATCTCAAATTGGCGCTAATTGAACATTGATTCTGGCTAATTGTTTGGGGCTACAGGGAAAAAAAAATCCTAGCTAGGCCCTGTAATAAGTAATAGTAGTATATTAACTATATAGACGGCACAGTAGTTAGGTTAAGTCAAACAGAGCTAAATGAGTTTCCAGGTAAACAGACGAGTCAGGGGGACATAGACCCTACGAGCCTCAGTTGCCATTCGGCCTAAAACTAAAAGGCCAAATACCTGGCTTTAGCGCAAGCTAGGTCAGCACCCCATGGTAGCATAGCTCAGCTAGGACGGTATTTCTTATGGGAATGTCTCTTGCTGTTATTATCCATA